CCGAAACTATAGTAAAAGGAGTGAAATGAGTTAATGAAGGCAAAAGGTGTATATTGAGTAGTGAAGCCTATGGAATGTGACTAATTAGCGAAACTTCACCACACCACAAACATACAAAATTCCTATTTCGCTTCAATAAAAGTTATATTTAAATTGAAGTCCGTGCAATCAATTCAATTCCTCACCATATTAGTAATAATGGGCAAAAAAAAAAAAGTAGCATAAATTGAGCATATAACATAATAGAAATAGTTGATTTAATAATGTATAAAAGCTACAAAAGTAATGAATTCAATGAATTCTGTTTTTGAGGCATCCCACAATTAATCATTAGATAAAAATATTTACCTAGCAAAGTCGTACGCCTACTTTTGAGTACTGCATGTCTTTCGTTACATGATCTTTCTAGACTGGTCTATGGACAGGGAATTTTAAAGCAACGTTTTGTTTTTCGTGCGTAACAATTTTTAATCGTGTGTATCAATTGATAAAGTTATTTGTTAGTGTATTTTACATAAACCATTATTTTTTAGACTTGATCCGAATCCATCTACTTAATAATTGTCAACTTCTAACTATAGTCACAAGTCCAACATCATACTCGAATATTAAATTCCAAATTAGTGTTACCAAAATTATTTAATTGATTCCATTCCCGTGTCTAAGTTTACACGTATAGATGGTTTCTTATAACTATAAATCATTGTTCTGCAAGAAACTTTATCATGCAACAAGTAATTATTGTGTAATTATATCATTAATTACGACTAATTGAAATTCATATGAAAACCTGATTTTCCGTAACTTTTTTTATATTATTGTTATTAATTTGCGTACCACTAATCACAACACAAAAAATAACTGAAAATATAAAATAAATTAGGAATAAAATGTTAATCAATTTGCTCGACTTTATTCATTACATTTTCATTTAGAAAACTAATAATAAAGTACTATCAATGAGTATTTGCGCGATAACAATAGTTGTATAGTTAATGATATAAGAAATTAGTAATTAATATAATATCATGTGGCGTTACAGTTTGTAATCGATTTTAAATTGTTAAGTACAACTAAAACCGAGAATCTCATTGTAAAATTAATGTTTCATTAAAGAAATTCACAAAAAACATTGTAATTAAACTAGAACTTGATCATGTAGCGGCTTCGCTGCCGAAGTTTAATTATAAGATTACGGGTTTGTTTAAAGATATTTAATTATTATACAGCTGTATATTGTAGCATGTATGTTTTGATAAAAGTAGGCATTAACTGATTAATTCGGATGTTAGTGGTTAATTACAAAAAGATTTCTGCAATGTGTGAATTGTATCTAAGATTAAATGTAATGTGAAAATCAAAAAGAATAGCATATAACGCCAGAGGCATAGAACTAAATTGTCTTGATTGACATTAGATTTAATCAAATAGCTAAATATTTGACACAGAAGACAGATCAATATCATGCACATATGTTAAAATTACAAACGCATCAACCATTGAAGCCACGAACCTGTTACTATTAAATCACGGACTAAATCACGAACCTACGTACAAATCTGCACTGCTTAAACGATGAACACCCACTATTGAAGTCGTTACTGAAATCACGAACTTACACGGCTAAAATCCTAAACTGCCTGCTGTTGAATTATTGACCTATCACTACTCAAACTGTGGTTGAATATCACTAAATCACGAATTCACCCATACTTGAAATCATGAACCCATCTAATGTAGAATTCAATAAATCAGACACTGTTGAAATCACTAACCAATTTAAACAATATACTTTCGTTTTTTACTGTGATTCATTTTAAAATAGGTTGTTATGGGCTGGGCTAGTATGTAGATATAAATGCGACTCAAACTCTCAATAACATTTTAATCAATATTTTTAAAGATAATTTATTGGGCTAAAGCTGGAAATAGCTAAAGATGGAAATTAAACCCTTAATTTAAAAGCAGAACCCTGCCGGTATCAAAACTAACCCTAAATAAATTTTAACCTAGCTATAAAAACATGAAATCCAAAATATTTTAAAAAAAATTCATATTGAAATAAATAAAATTTCCAAATTCAGCCAATTCCAGCTTTAGTCGTGATGAGAATTTTTATTCAATCTTTATTTCAAAAATATTTTTTAACTCTTGAATTAAATTTTCACTTTCCTCTAATTTTTGAAACACCTCTTTTTCAACAAGTTTTGGCGTTAATTCAGCTTTACCAAGCATTTTTAATAGCGAATTCGAAAGAAATGGTGCTTCAATAGTATCATCATCCCATTTATCATTTTGTATCTTATTAACTATATTATACAGTTCATCAAGACTAAACTTGTAAAATCTTTAAACATTAATTAATATTAAAATTAAACAAATTTGTTATAATAAATTATAATAAATTAATCCTTACAAATAATCAGGAAACCAATTATTTTTTCTTTGTTGGTATGGCAGCATATAAAGAAGTTCTATTTCTGATATGATCTGTTTGAGGAAGATAAGAATTGTTATAATTTTAAAGCAAAAATAATGAACAAATGTTTTAATCAAAATGCAACCTTTGCTCTTTGAAGCAAAAATAACTCTTTTCTGTTGGTTTGACTAATAGAATCAGTCAACAATCCAATAAACAAGTTCATTAAATAAATTGTTGTAAAAAAAAAAAAAAGAATTACTAAGAACGTTAATGTTAAATTTTCTGTTAATGACCAATTTGACAAATAAGATGAATCACCTATAAGTAATTAAATATGTAATTATAAATATTTATTATAAATTACTACAATGATAATTGTTAAAAAATAATTAAAAATACCTGTTAACATCATATATATAGCCAAATATGCTGTATCTAAACTTGTAAACATATTTGTGCTTGATTCTTTTGAATTATTTAAAATATCAATTTTTGGTCTTAATAAAACATGTAAAGAGTACGCAAAAGTGAACATAATAAAGCCAAATATTACAATAAATAGTAAAGAATATTTGATAACTCCAATAATTATTGCCCAAGATGTACCACCAAATTCAATAGCACGTAAAAATGTTATAAATTTAAGTTCAAGTAATAATATAGAAATTGTAATAGCCCAAATAGAAATAGTAGAAGATTGTAACCAATCAATAGAAGTTAATACAGGAAATAGTATTGCTCCTACATCTTAAAATATAGTGTTATTAATTAGATAGAAGTATTTACAAATTAAACAAATAAATAATTAAAATTAAAAATATACCTAAATAATTCCAAATTTCGGTAATCCAGTCCAAAGGAGACAAAATAAATTGTTGAACTTCAAAGGTAAGATGTAAAATTCCAAAAATTATATTTGTTATTAATAGCAAATTTTGAATATAATTTGATAATCCTTCAATTGTAGCAACTATTAGAAAACTAAGCATAAAAATAAGATAAAAGACAAAAATAGCAAAAAAATAATATTTTTCATAGGTATTCCATTTGAAGCTAAGAAGAGCTTCACCACACCAATATTTATAAAGTTCAGGAAATAGGTGTTTAGAAAAAATACTAGGTTTAGGAGAAATCAATTCTTCTAAAAGATTATAGCCAACAGGATATGAACTAAACTTTGGTAATAGAAAAATTAAAACTACAAATTGAAAATCTTTATAAAATATTTGTTCTATTTTTTTTTCTATACTTTTTTTGGATTTTTTTTATTATTTGTTGTATCTTTACTCGAATATTAGAAGGAATTTTAGAAATTAATAAAATAAATAAATGTTTAATTTTTTTTTTAATACTACTAGTAGATGAGGGTTGTGTATATTTTATATAATCTTGAAAATGTGGGTTTAAAAATTTATTAAATTTAATTTCTTCACACCTATCAGCTAAATGAATAAATAAAGTATAAAATAAAAATTTTTTTAATAATTAAGGAAATTGTAATAATTCTTTAAATGAAAAGTAAAAATATATAATAATTGAATTTTTTTTGAAAAGTCATCTTTTTCTGTTTCTTTAAATATTTTGTTACATAATTTCTCAGCTAATGAATAATATTTTGGCTTTAAAAAATACTTTAGAAATTCTGCACCATGTAACTTCATTAATGTTAAATTTGTTTCATCACATATTTTATTACATAATCTTTCTACTAATGGATAGTATTAAAATTTTATAAAATACTTTAAAAGTTCTTGTCTATATAATTTTATTAATATAGTATCTTCAATATAGTCATTCAATAATTCATTTAAAATATCTTTTAAATAAATTTTCTCAGTATCTCTATTTAGAAATGATTGTTCATAATAAATTAAAAAATCCAAGTCTAATACTGGCAATAAATTTTTATCTTTTTGTATTTTGTTTAATAAATTTTAAGCTCTAAATCACCTTTTATTCCACACCATTTTTTATAGTTCTCAATATTCTTATCAATTATGTCATTTATATAGTATAGTAATTCAATTTTATCTTTTTTCCAAATTGACCATATAAATAAGCCAGCATTGGTAATTATTGCTAAATCATCATTATGTAACAAATCACAATTATAAAATCTTATAGCTATTGTATAAGTATTTGATAGATTTTTTTTAGTATATTTCAAAGAAAAATCTTTTAATTTTATATTATCTATATCTTTCCAAGTATTTGAATTAAATTTCAAAAAAGCTTTTATTTTATTTTTCTTGCAATTTACTTCCCATTTTACTATTAATTCTATATATGGTTCTATTTTCTCTATCATACCAATAAATTTATCATATTTATTTTTATTTATAGACCTCTGCAGAATTTCTATTATTTGAGATTTGCTAGGTAGAACTCTTATTTTGTTAGAATCTTGTAATTTTTCTTGTAAGTATTTGATCCATTGTTTTTTAGAAATCTTTTGAGTCTATAAACATCTATCTGATATGTAATATATTCTTTTATTTATCAATAATTTAATTTTTGCATTTGAAATATCTAATTTTGTCAAAGCTTTTTGACTTAAAAGTTCTGTATATAGGCTTGAGATTGGCTCATCGTTGATAACATTATGTTGAAGATTGTAAGGATCTCTTATATCAAATGTATTATGATAAAATAAGAGTAATCTTTCTGCTTCATCAGTTGAAATAAATTCTAAACTCAAAACTCTTTTACCTTTTTCAATTTGGGCTATAAATTAATTATAATTATAAATACATAGAATCATAGTGAATCAATCAGTGATGTTTGTACTATATATATTATAGAAAAATTTAGAATACATATCACTTCACCAACGCTCATTTCGTAGACATAACATTTCACTAACAAAAATTTATTGACAAGTTTATTTCACTGACAAGTTTATTTCACTGACAGTTTATTCACAGAAGCTCATTTCAAATACAAACTTTTTTTTATAAATCTCACCAACCTTAACTCTAATTTTAATCTGACCTTAATGACAATAACCAGAATTATTTTGTCAGTGAAATGAGCTTTGGTGAAATAAACTGTTAGTAAATGAACTTGTTAGTGAAATATACTTGTCGGTAAAATAATTGTCGATGAATAGTTGTCAGTGAAATGTTATTTTTACAAAAGAACTGTCGGTGAAGTGACCTGAGCCGAAAATTTTACTATTAATTTAAGCTATGCAAAATTAATTATAGCTATTATCATTATTTCTGAAACATCTGATGAATTTTCAGATGACCGAATTATCCTCTTTTTTATTTGGTAAATTATCTAACTTCTCAGAAACTATATCGCTGTATCCAGACCTTCATTCTGAAGACAGCAATGTAATTTTCAGAGAGCTAGGCAATTTACTGAATGAAATAGAGAATATTTCGATCATTTGAAAATTCTTCAGATGTTCCAGAAATAATGATAATAGCTGTAATTGGTTTTTATAACCGAACTGGGTCAAATTTTAAAGACTTTCAAAAAATTTTTATATATTATAATAATCAGAAAGATTTTAAAAAAAATTTTATAAAAATTTTATAAAACTTTTATATATGAATTTTTTTAAAAAAAAAAACTGACTGGGTCTATTTAAAAGTTTCATGTCATTAAGACCAAAATATTAAATTTGTATGACCGTAGTTTAGTGTTATATAAGATTTTTGAGTTATTAGTACATCAAATATCAACTATAGTTAAACACCACTAACTTATTTAATAAACTCAAAATATTAATAGTTATACAAAAAGGTATTCAGATTTTATAAACACCTTTTTGCAAACAGCGACATACTAATTTAATAACTTACATTGTGATAAAAGAATTGAATTTTCTGACAAATAAATTTAAATAATAATTTCTTCTGCATCACAATATACTGTAAGTAATGTAGAGTTTTTGTTAAAAATGCATTGAAACTCAGAACAGTACCATATTTCATCGATATAATGATGAGCTATATATAATTGATATTGTTTTTCAAATAATAATGTATCAAAATTCTATTGTGTTAATGACCTACATCTATCAAGAAGCATTATCTTATTATTGTTGCTTAAATAACATATTACATCTTTACGTTTTCCACAGAAAATTGAATTATTAATCATCCAACTTTGCTTACATCAGTAAATTTTTTAGGGTGATAAGTATCGATTATAATCAGCCACCGCTTCTAAAATTATGATGTCCTCCACTTCTTGTGGGCCATTTTTAGAGGAGAATGATATAAGTGGACAGGTGGTCAAGTC